GGGCCATTCACAAAGCCAAGCCACCCCACTGGTCTCCTGTCCCTACATCTCTGAACTGTGGTTGGGGGAGTGAGGAGAACCTTTGTCATGGTGAAATTCAGCCCTGTGGAGAGGACCTGCAAAAGGCCTAAGCACCTACGTCTGCCCTAGATTGAGGGCTTAGGTGGGCCTGCACTGGCCCCTGTGCATGGGGGCAATTTCACCATTAACCCCTTCTTAGACTGTAAACTTTGGGGGGGGGGAGGAATGCTGTTCCCATGTGCTTGCCCAATGTCTAGTATAAATAGGGCGCTGATCCTGACTGAGGTACTATCACGATGTACATCATATACAGGGATTGGGAAGAAGGATGGTCTCATCCTAGACTGAAACGCTGGAGCGTCTGGTTCTGTCACAGGCTGCTGTGGGACCTGGGGTATGTCACTATGCATGGGATCTTCAAAAGCAGCTCAGGGTAGACCACATCTAACGGCACAGGAACCGATGGGGGTACACCTGGCCTTGAATATATTGAGGCTGGAGATCAGAAGGGGGGATCTAACCATCAGAGAAGTGAGGCTCTGGAACAGCCTCCCATCAGGAGTAGGAGCCTATCTACCTTTAAAATGGAGCGTGATACATTTCTGAACAGGATTACATGACAGGATTGTCTGCAATTACAGGGATTTGACTAGATTTGAGGATTCAAGAGGCTCCAGTCCCCCATTCCTGCATCCCTATGTTCCATGGACTTTCCATGAGAGCTGGGCATGGCGATCCCAGCTGTAATCTCTCAGAACCTCAGTTCTCCAAAGGGAGACAACAGTCCTTCCTTTCCAGCCATCCTTTGTCTGCCTTGCCTAGTTAGACTGCAAGGCATTTGGGGCAGGGACTGTCCCTCATTATGTACAGCACCTGGCACAATGAGACCCCCATCTCAGTTGGGGCCTCTATGAACTACTGTAATAACAATGAACAATAATAATCTGTCTGAAACGGATGGGGATTCGGACTGAAGTGGAACCAGAATAAAGAAATGAAAAGCACGTAGCATGGGGTTCTTGCTGCTCCACTCTTCTTCCCCCTTCGGAGGTTCTTAACTTTACACTCCTTCCTCCAGAGGAGTTTTGAAGTCACAGAAAACATTTTCCAAACCTAATATTAGTTCCAGATGTTCACAGACATTTTGGTTTGTACCTCACTCTGTAAAACACATTTTCTCTCTCTTTTTTCTTAAGTGCAGAGCCTGCTTTGTCTATGACATAATCTGCTCGCAGCCCCGCCAGTGCGCGCGCTCACACGCGCGCTCCCGCCTTTCGAGCGGCTCATGTTCGAACAAAGAGCATCACTCATCTACCAAGCTGTCACGCACATGGAGTTGTGAGTAATTGCCACAAACTTTAATCAACAGTTCGGGATGCGATTGCTCCGTCTTCTTTTCTGGCTGCTGAGCGGAGAGCCGCTCTCTCCCCGCTGCACGGTGTTGAAAGTATGGTTTGCTTCGCACACAAATTCACCTCGGGAACAGTCCTGGTAACATCAGAGGTTTTGAGGGCTGTGTTTTTCTAAGCACCAGTAATAAGCCTTTAAAAATGTTTATAGCCAGGGAGTTGGGTAGGCAGGTATTCCCCGAGAGGCCTTCATTTCTCTCACCCCCGCCCCCTAGCACCTCTGTCCTGCACACCGAGACAAGGAGAGAGCGGGGCTGGCTCCTGACCCTGCTCCTGGATGAAGAAGAGGATAAAATTATTTTTGGCTCAGGGAAAGGGCTTCTTCCACTTGCCAGCAGAATAGGAGGCCAAGGGTTTTGTCGAGATTAGACGCTGGAGCCTTTGGGAGACAGGCAGAGGGCCAGATGCCATACAGGAGCAAATCCTGCCATGTAGCCAAAGGGTGGGTTGGCACAGTGCTAGCAGAGGGCATTGCCAGGAATCACAATATTAGGAGGTTATAACTCTAATTTTTCTTTAAAAAATACGGATTATCTTCCCACTCTTAAAGCCTGGAGATCTCAGGAATAAACTCCAGCAGCATCAAGAGCATAGCTGTTTTCGGGTGGTATGGCTGTGCTGCTCAAATAACCCTGCTGTCTCTCCGGGGGAAGGGGGCATGGCCAGCCGCCCTATTGACAGCAGCAGAAGTGTGGAAAACCTCAACTTGCCCAAAAACAGAGGCACAGATTTTCCAGGGGGCTCCTGTTTTTAGGTTTTTGCTATTGATTTGATGCGAAAGTCACTCAGAGACTGGTGATGGGCAGCAGTATGAGAAAGCAAGAGAAAGAGAAAGATACTCAACTGGAGGCACCCAGGGGCTCATTCTCCGAGTAGCTGAGCACCCACACGTCCAAATGAAGACAACGGGAGCTGCGGATGTTCAGCACCTTGGGAAAATCAGGCCCCTTGGTGTCTCCAGTTGGACACCCAAAAATCAAGGCATCTAACATTAGGAGCTCCACAGGCGTGGATAGAAGTTGACAAAGAAGGAGGGAACATTTGGATACAAATAACTGAGAGAAGAGAGAACTTTGGGTTTGTTTGTTTTTAAATGTCTGTTTGTTGTTTTGGTTTTTTTGTGTGTTCAGAATTAGCACAAAGCCCAGGAGAAGAGCGAGGGGCATGCGGCTCTCGGGAGTGATTTTCTTCGCATGTCAAACACATGGCAAAAAAGAAAAGAAAAGAATCATACTAATGTGTATTTCCTCCTGCAGCTGTCACACGGCGATCCAGCCACATCAAAGAAGAAACCCCGTGTTTCCCTCGTCTGGCCTCACCTAACAAATGCGTGAGCAATCTGGAATCCCCATCCAAACCACAGCGCTTCCTTTAGCGGGTTGCTTTCCTCTTCCATTACTGGACGGTGCCCCTCCAAGGCAAAGAACAAACCTGCCGTGCCTGGAAACTGGAACCGTAACCCAGGCACTGCAGCGGCACCGGGTAGCTTTGGAAATGGAAGTCAGTGACAGGGAGGGAGGGAAACTTACTTTGAGACAGGGACTGAGGTGTAAACAAATGAGGGGCACCAATTCTGACTGCCCGCAGTGGAGGCCCCTTCAAGTGATCGGTGGCCTCGGAAGGATGCGCTGATCTTTCCTTTGACAACGAAACCCTAGCCTCTGTAGCACACAGGCTTAGTAATGGGGGCCGTATAAACACCTGAGAGAGAAATCTGACAGGAAGAACAGATGGGACCCAAATTCCCTGCTGGTATAATTTGGTGCAGCTTCCTTGGTTGCACCAGTTTACACCAGAAGAGAATTTGGCCCATAGGTGCTCAGAAAGTTACAGAATGAATAAACCCACAAAAATCCACCCACCACTAATAGCCAAATTCTGTTCTCGCCTGCGTGAATCTGGCTTGCCCCTGTTGAGCCGAGAGATAGAATTAATAAAAATATATGGAGATATACCTATCTCATAGAGCTGGAAGGGACCCTGAAAGGTCATCGAGTCCAGCACCCTGCCTTCACTAGCAGGACCAAGTACTGATTTTGCCCCAGATCCCTAAGTGGCCCCCTCAAGGATTGAGCTCACAACCCTGGGTTTAGCAGGCCAAGGCTCAAACCACTGAGCTATCCCCAATTGGGTCTGAATGATCATGGTGAGATAGCATCTCTGACAGAATCATCACACGTTCAGAATCTCAGGTTCCCATGACTCGTCCTCCATGAGTCATGATCAGGAGTCTTCTGCCCACTGCCCGTCAGAGGCACTTTAACTACCCCCACCCCTGTGGTGTGCGTGCAGCACCCTGCCCTGCACTGAAAAGCGGCTTGGCCAGCTCCCGCTGAGTCTGCAACAACAGGAAAGGCTTTCTGAAGAGGAGCCTCTGCTAGTCACGAGTCTGCGGCTTGGCACACACACACCTCTGTCCTACCCATTTGCATACAAAGGTGTGTCAAAGTGACTGTGACTGGAGCGAGGTGTGACATGGTCACAAGAGTATCCGGAGGACCCTGAGCCTGTGCCAAAGAGAAAACAGTAGTGAGGGAACTGTCTCAGAACCAGCTGGCCTCTAGCGGTCTACGCTCACCAGCACAGATGCTGTGGGCCTCGTGGAGAGGCTCAATCTGTCTGGTAGCACTTCAGAGAGACGCCCCTCAGTCGGGCCCGTTCCTCGTGCTTCTGCAGAGCATGGTCTAGTAATACATACAGTGGTGGGCCTAGCCCCTGCTAGCGCTGACTTGCGTAGCCTCTAGGAGGCGCTCAGACAGCACGGCAACGAGCATGGGATGGGTAGGCAGATAGCACCAGGAAAAACAAATGTAAACAACCCCGCCCACATGTAAACCCCCTGGCCCGTGAGATTTGCAACACAATGTTCCAAAGAAAGAACCTGCAATGTAGAGAGAGAAAAACTCACATGCACCGTGACTTGTAGCTTCATGGTTAAATGAACTCCAAATCCTCCATTAATTGCAAGAGAAGGAACTGAGTTTTGCCTGGTTTTCTCACTGAGCAGAGCTAGAGCAGCAGCTTTCAACACCTTTGGTGATATGTTTTAGAACACATCACTTTTAATTACTCATCCAGACCCATCAACAAGTTTCCACCTTGACCTGCAGGCCCCTGAATCATGCTCTGAGTCTCAGCCAAAACATTCACGAGCCTCAGGGGACTGGGTCCAAGTTCTGTGTTTATAGCTGAACTCCAAAACCAGGTGGGTTTCAGGTGCTGTTAGAGAAGCTTTGCACAGCTCTAGCTGACGGTCTCTCAGTTTTGTACGTTGCCCAGTTGCTACCATGGTGGGTACTTTCAAAATGCAAATCACTTCTTTGTAGTTACCCAACACTTTTCTCTAATTTTTCCAAGTAACAGAATCTACAGAGACCTTCAGAAGCCACTCCCAGTGCAGGAGGTTTGACACTACACTCCAGACGGTGTCTGTGCTACGTACCCTTCTGTACAAAGCCAACAAAATCCCGAGGACGGAGCTCGGACCCATCTGCAGTCAGGGATCTCGGGCACAGAATTAGTTAACATTGCTGTGGAATTCCGGAGCTGCCGCCCCTTGTCCTCACCTACCTGTGTAGAGGTCAGTGTCCGTGTATTCATCAACCTTCTTGTGCTGAAGGACGTAATCGGAGACCTTTGTCCCGATCGCAGGCTGGACATCCAGCCACTCCAGAGAGACCACGGTGCTGGAGGGCTCTACGCTGGGGGATAAGCGCAACCTGGGCAGGGCACAAACAAGGCAGAACTGCTGGAGATCAGCTTGCACTCTGAGGAAAGCCAGCCTGTTAAAGCAGCTTCTGAACATATGCCTATGGGCTCCCTCACACATTCAGACACACGCACATGAACACAAGAAACAAGGGGACAGTAGTGAAGGGAGGGAGGAAAAAACAAAAAAGGAAACTTTCAGCCAGGTGGAATCAGATCCTGCTGTATGCTGTTCCCTCCTCCACCTGTTCCCTGAAGAGCCTTGGCCTTGTGACTTCTTCTGAATCAGCATCTCTGGGCTATGCATGATTGAGGGTGGCCCAACTCATCCCACTTGAAGGGCTCTCCCTCTTCTCAGTTAACACCCTCATAACTACATCCCTGCCATCTCAGATCAGCTCAGTGACCCTATGGAGAACGGATGTCCAGCCACATGGGAGAGTGAAAGAGGAGAGCGAGAAGGTCAAACTTCCCTCCGTGTATCTCCATGTAACTCCGCTGAAGTCAATGGATGGGGTATAAGTGAAGAGAGAATCTAGCCCAGGTTGTGCCTGAATGGGAGTAAAGGACTGCAAGAATGCGCACGCCCAAGAGTGTGTACGGGTGTGTGTTTGTGAGTGAGTCTGAGCATCAGGAGCGCCGCCAGCTTTTTTGCCGCCCGAGGCGGCGGAAGGTCCCGCCCCCGAAATGCCACCCCCGACAGAGGTGGCAGAAGGTCCTGCCCCCGAAATGCCACCGCCGACAGAGGTGGCAGAAGGTCCTGCCCCCGAAATGCCACCGCCGACTGGGGTGGCCAAAGATTCGGCCGCCGCAGTCGCCGCCCCCCAAATGTTAGTGCCCTAGGCGACTGCCTAAGTCGCCTAATGGGTTGTGCCAGCCCTGCTGAGCATGTGTGTGAGCAAAAGAACGAGAGGGATGAATAGGTACAACGTGTGAGTTAGAGAGTGTGTGTGTGAGAGAGAGAACGGGAGTGAATGTGTGAGGTGAGAGAGGGAGTCTAATTCTTCATGCTGTGTGCCTTGGATCATAGAATCGTAGGACTGGAAGGGACCTTGAGAAGTCATCTAGTTCAGTCCCTTGCACTCATGGCAGGACTAAGTATTATACCATCATCATCACTGACACCAGTGCAAAGGAGAGCGTGAAATGCCACCGGATCAGAATCACGCCAACTTTGCACCCCCGTAGGACTGTAGTCGGTGACAACACAAGGTGCAGGGCTATTAACAACTGGGCTCTGAGAGTACAAGTGTGTTTGCTGAGCTCAGGATGGGAAATCGATGCCGTCTGAGGATACTCGCTTACTAAAACTATGTTCTCTTCCTAGTGGAAAGCTGGAGCCAGTCTCTCTTCCTGCTGTCTCAGCTAATTCCCCATCAGCTTGCTCCTGATTTGTTCTCGCTCTGACAAGCCACAATGAATTGCACTGTAATTCCATTTCTTTCGCCGTTTTAAATCCCATTCTACAAGCCGTGCTAATAAGGTGATGAAAAACAACAAAGAAACCTCCCAGGGCCACAGCCAGCCTCAGGATATCTGAAAGGCCTCAGTCACACAGCAAAATGCACCGGACTGGGGACCTGGGTTTGAATGCAGGAGCCAGGGGGCACCTGTGGGCAAAACTGTAACCCCACACAGCGAACCAGAAGGGGACGGAGTATGTGCTGACCACACCACAACATAGAAGCCATTCACCAAGAGATACATACACAGGCTGAGGGAGAGGACTGCAGTTTGGGAGTCCATTCTCGTCGAAGGCATTGAGGTCACATCTGCACCAATCCTCGATAACGTCTCCTTTCCCTGAGCACCAGTACGAGCTCATCAGGGCTCCCCTGAAGGCCTAGAAAGTTTTATTAAAAAGAAACAAACATGTAAACGCTTAAAGCTCAGGGAAATCAGCTAGTCCTTACCCTGCCCCTATTACCAACTGCAATGTCACTAGATCTGGAAAGGATGAAGGAGGGGCTCATGGATGCGATGGGACTCAGGAGCCCTGGGTTTAATTCCCAGCTCTGCCACCAACTTCCTGTGTGTCCTTGGGAAAGTCATTTAATCTCTCTGTGCTTCAGTTCCCCCATCGGTACAAGGGGGGTAATGATTTTGTCTTGATTGTTTAGACCGTCCGCTTCTCCCAGCAGGGCCTGTCTCTCTTTATGTGTCTGTACAGTGCCGACCTCAAAGGGAGTCTTTTGAGATGTAAAAGGGCCCATGTGGTCCCCCGGGACTTTATTGCAGAAGGACAGGGATAAACCCAATTCCAACAAATCTGGGCTCCCTTAACGCTACCTGAAATTTCAGCAGGATGTACTACTGTTCTTTACTTCCATCTTTTAATTTCCCTTATGCTCCACCCCAGAATTGACTGCATTTCAGAGGTGAGTCAAGTGACTCTTGAATAAAAAGCACCCAGGGGCCATCATGCATGCTGACCTCACACACTCCTGACTCATATGAGCAGTCCAACTCACCACTGAAGTGAGTGGTGCTACTTGCTTGAGTAAGGATTACTCACAAGAGTAAGGATTGCAGGACTAGGTACCCTAGTCGGTACAAACAGAAGAGTTTGTAAAAGCACTTTAGGGGGTGCATCTGATGGAAATTATTAATACCTCTGCACAGTCATTAGCATGACAAGAACGCCTCACTGCAGTTCCTACTGCCTCAGAGGACTGATACTACAATATGAGCCCCAGGAGCAAAGATGATCCTCATGGATCAGACTGCAGGATCGGCCCTAGATTAGTAAAGGTGAAATCATTTAAAAAAAAATCTAACTTTCCTTTGAATCTATGCCTGATGATTGTTTACTTTTTGCTGTTCACTCAGCTTAGGACAGAAAGACAAAGCGGGTCAGTTTCACTGCCGGGTTCTCATGCACTAGCCCCAGGCTGTTGGAGCGGAGTTGCTAATACCACAGAGGAATGCTTAAAACAAACCCAGCACCCTGGTCTAGTGGTTCAGATCTGTGACTGGGTCTCAGGAAACATGGGTTGGAGAGCCAGGAGTCCCTCCCACCTGCTGTGTAACCTTAAATTGCTTCACCTCTGTTGCCCCTCCCATCCTTTGTCGGTCTTGTCTACTTAGACCGTTAGCTCTTTGGAGCAGGGGCTGTCTCCCACTATGTGAACGTACAGCACCTAGCACCCTTGCGCTCCAACCTCAGTTGAGGTCTCTAAGAGATACTACAATAATGAAACCCTGACTTCACTGTAATTATTTTTTAAAATCTACTTCTATTAGCTTTTGCAACTCCTTTTCCAGTGTATTAGAAGCCCTACATTTTGGCCCCCAAACTACTGAGGAGGGTCCTCTATATATCTAACAGCCCTGCTGGCTTTCCCACACCAGCCAGATCTTATTTGACAAAACCCCAGTACTTAAAGCAGCACTATTTCACCCCCTTCAAATCTCTGAGAGTGCCAGACCGCAGTTGTCTGGCCCACATGATACGACTAATTTTAAGGGTTACACCTTAAAGATTGAAATCACCCCTTGGGGAGGACAGGGATGGCTTCAGCAGATTTGGTATTTAACACAACACTGTAGTAAAAACGCCTTCCTCGAACCATTTATAAAAAGAAAGGGTATAAATAGAGCCATACGTCACACTCTATTGTTTGGGATTTAGTCAATTTCCCCAAACACGCAACCACCTTTATAACAAGGCGCCTTGAGTCACCCGAGTCTGCAATATTTCTGCTTCCAGACATTTATTAAATGTTCCCATTAAAAAAAAAAAAAGGGGGGGGGGGAGGATGAGAAAGAGAGCAAAAGAAAGAGAAAATACATCATTATTCTTTAGATCCTAAGTGAAAGCCTAAAAGCGGAAAGGGTATTTTTAGGCAATTAGAGAATGTCTAGAACAGACAAACAGACAGACAGATCAGATGCATGAGAATGAATTGTCCCATGTTGTAACCAGACGATAATCTCTCAACCTCTGCATTACCCAGAGGGTCTGCTATAACTAATGTGACGAGGAATTCATGGAAAGGAAAAATACATAGGCAAAAATACATCAGCCCTACTCCATAACCGGGGGATGTGGGGGGCTGTACTGCTGACTTAGGTACGATGCCATAGGTGGCTGCCCGGGATGATTCTTTCTGAATGGGGCCACAGCTCGGATGGGATTTCCTGATGGTTTCGAAAGAAGAGGAGAAACTGACACATGGATTTTAGAAAAGCATGAGGGAGCCTGAGAGAGAGAGCAGGCTGGATTTCCAAGAGGATTCGAAGGGCATGGAGCTGAGAGTACTCTCCAGCCAGGCCAAGAAGTGGGAAGGAAAGACCTTAGATCATCCTTGGCCTTTGAACCGCTCCCCCTGCTCCATGTTATGTGTCCTGTTGTTTACAGCTCCCTTCTGGCCCACATGGGTGCGGGCTCCCCTCACATCTCCAGCCAACAGGAGAGACTCAGTGAGCTTGCTGGAGTGAGCGGGGCCATGTGCAGAGTGTCAGGGAGTGGAGCACCAGGTGGAGCCGAAGAGAGAGAAAACACCTGAGCCACTCAAGAGGAAATAGCTTCCAGCGCTCTCCGAGCTCAACATCCGCCAGCGCCCACGGGTTGGGAGCATGCGGACAGCTGTGTCAGGCTGCCCAGGAAAGTCACCTGGGCCCAAAGCAAGGTCTGCCAAGCAATGTATCTCCTCTCATACTGTCACTGTGTGGCTACACTGCCCTCCTGCCACCCTGCACCCCGCACTGCCCCCTACCACCCCAGCACTGCACACTGCCCTCCTGCCACCCCCGCACCGCTAGGGTTGCCCGGCATCCAGTTTTAGACCGGAATACCCGGTCGAAAAGGGTCCTGGTGGCTCCGGTCAGCACTGTTGACCGGGCTGTTAAAAGTCCGGTCGGCGGCGCAGCAGGGCTAAGGCAGACTTCGTACCTGGCTCTGCGCAGCTCCCGGAAGCGGCCGGCATGTCTCTGCGGCCCCTAGGTGGACGGGCAATAGGGAAGCTCCGCACGCTGCCCCCGCCCCTCAGCTCAGCCCCTGCTGCCCCCTTTGGCTGGGAGCCGCGAGCAATGGAAGCTGCGACGGTGGCGGCTGCGGGCACGGGTAGCATGCAGAACCCCCTGGCCCCTCCGCCAGGAGCCCCGCAGCGCCGCTGACCAGGAGCCGCCTGAGTAAGCGCCGCCTGACTAGAGCCTGCAGCCCGCACCCCCTCCCACACCCCAACCCTCTGCCCCAACCCTGAGCCCCCTTCTGCACCCCAAACTGCTCATCCCTGGCCCCACCCAAGAGCCCACACCCCCAGCCAGAGCCCACATCCCCTGTCCCAGCCCAGTGAAAGTGAGTGAGGGTGGGGGGGAGCGAGTGCCGCAGGGAGTGAGTGGGGGCAGGGCCTCAGGGAAGGGGCGGGACAGGGGTGTTTGGTTTTGTGCGATTAGAAAGTTGGCAACCCTATGCACTGCACACTGCCTTCCTGCCACCCCCACAGCCCACACTGCCCTCCTGCCACCCCCAAACTCCACACGGCCCTCCTGTCAGCCCCACACCCCACTGCCCTCCTGCCTCCCCCGCAGCCCACACTGCCTCCTGCCACCCCCACACCTCCCACTTCCCCCTACCACCCCACACTGCCCTCCTGCCACCCCTGCACCTCACACTGCCCCCTACCACACCCACACTGCCCCTTACCACTCCCGCAGCCCACACTGCCCCCTACCACTCCCACACCGCCCTCCTGCCACGCCCGCACCCCATATCACCCCCTACCACCACAGCATACTGCCCCCTACCATCCCTGCACCCCACCCCACCCCACCCTCCTGCCACCACCACTGAACTGCCACCATATTACCTGTCCTGTTCTCATACTGTTACTCTTCACATCTGCGGCCCTTGCTCTGTCTCTGCCAACCTATACGAACACACGCCCAGGCTGCTGTCACACCGTCATCCGAAAGCCTCACAACCCCAACCCCAAATGCTGCCGCCCCCTTGCACTCTCCCCATACACACTACTCGTGCAGCGCATGCCTGGCACCATCACAACGTGCCCGTACATCCTCCGTCTGCGTCTGCTGTGGCATGTCACCGTGCCCCCGCGCTGCCCCCGAGGACGGTGCAGCAGGGGGTGCATGGTCAGTGGTATTTCACTAGCACGCAAGCGCTAGGCTTCCATTGAGTCAGAGGTCAGCGCTTTTGCAGCTCTTTTCCCCACCTAGGCTCTCTATCATTGCTGGATACCCTGGCTACCTAGTGAAGAAATCTCACCCACCATGGCCGTGCCCTTTAGCCCCATCCAAGAGTTAATTTCTTTTGTTGTTTACGGGAAGTACGTGCTTCCCCCTCCCCCCTCCCGACCCGATACACTTTAATTCGATCCTGCAGGTACAGAGCCCTGATCTGCCTTGTGTCGACCTTTACACAAACGAGGTTAGCCCATCGATGCGTCCTTCAATTCCACTCATTAGGCCGAGCGCACCTACGCGCAGTAACAGAGTTACACCGAGAAACAATGGGCCCCCGGCCCTGACAGCAGCCTCTATTCAATTTCCCTGACATTTGTTTATGGAGGAGCAGCCGGCTGACGTCAAACCCAGCCAGGAGAGGCCAGGCTTCAGCGGAGCTGTGCTTTGCTTGTTTTTAATCAGGGTTTCTAGTGAGTGTGTGCGCTGGGGAGCATGTGCGCGGAGGAGGGAGGGGGGCTCAGAGGCAGGGAAGAGGTCAGGTGCTTCGGAAAAACAGGATGGGCGCAACAAAGGTCAACGCGGTTCCTGAAGCAGGGCTCCAGCAGGAAGCTGCAGGAAGCTGCATTACCCTTCCAGGGCACGACAATACAATCCAGGGGCTCCAGATTCCCTTTGGGGCCACCACCTTGCCCCTCAGGG